TGAATATTAGCATTGTAATTTTGCTCTTGTTCTGTAAAACAAAATTATTCTTATTATCAGTTAAAATCTGTTATGACTTCCATTTCCCAATATAATAGCATTAATACTATAGTAATATATTGTTTCATTTTTATAATGTAATAAAATAAAAATGTGAAAATGTGAAAAAATGTTACCATTGCCGTTTTGCAAAATATTTCCTCCTCTATCCTCAGGCTATAATTGACTCTAAATCCACATTTTAAAGCTGGGCCGTATTCACAAAACATGGCTTTGGTTTGGAGGTTATCCCAACTCCAAATTTTTGATTAGGCTATAGCCTATCCTTAATATATAGCTGTTCTCGCGTCCAGTTTGGTTTTCTGTTATGTTTGCATGTCTTTCTATCAGCCATGATTATTCTACTCTGCTAATTAAAAGGCTGTTTATATGCATATTACCAAAATTGTATTAGTCACTTAGTCGCAGAAAAAAAACAAATTCCACATGAAGTGGCGAAATCACGCAGTCAGTGACGGACAAATCGTTAATGGCTGGTCTTTGTGGTAATACAGTACATCGGGCAGGACATCCATATGCTCTCATACATTCATCGAACTCAAATATGGCTTATCATCTGAAAATATGGCTTATCATCATACAGATAAGAATAATGCATCTTTTGTATCTGTAAAGACTCTACGTTTATTCGTGTGCACTCAGAATAATAACGAAACGTTGCGCTTTTGTAAAATAATGGAAGCAAACAGGATGCGCTTTCTGCCGTCTCGGACTCTGTGAACTTGAGCGTGTCACTTCGAAACTCTGTGTATGCTTGCCTTATTACAGACATGAAAAATATATCTATAGAGTGAAACTTTTAAATGAACCAATTCAAATAGAAAACAAATATTCTCAGATTATGTAATCCGTATGAAACATGCATACAGGCGCATACTGCGGAGATGACGAGTCCGTGTCGCTGACTTCATCTCTTAAACCGAAAACAGAAAGCACTAGTGTAACAATAAATTATTAAAACGTTAATGCAGTCTACTTGCGAACACATTCAGCATTATTATATTTGCCGGTGCGCTGTGGCAAGCCTTTTTTTGCGTGTGCTTGAGCGCTTATTAGGCTATGTAGGCAATTAAAGGCTCATTATTATGATTTATATGGCTTATTAATAAAAGTGCGACTAATAGTCGACTAATGCTTAAAATGAACGACTACGAGTCGACCAGAAAAATCTTTAGTCGAGGGCAGCCCTAATGCATATTAACTAATTGTTTACGAGAAGCTTAAGAGGCTGACAATTAGCTGAATATATAGCCTACTTGTTTAATTAGTGACACTTAGCCTGCATTTTAAAATCTTTATTTGAATGTGACAATTAACATTTTTATTTTAAAACCTGTATTTGAATATGGCAACATAATATTGCGCTCTACAATATTTCTATGAATAAATCTCTGACAGACTATCAGCCAATCACTGTGTGCATAGTTAGTAATTATGCTGACATCATCAATAGCAACAAGGTCAACCCCGCCCTTACTCTTAGCTTAAGACTTCTGTCTATTCCTTAGTAAAAGTTTGTCTCAGCAGCTTTGTGAATAGGTTTTAAGAGAAAACTCTTAGCTAAAAACTTTTACTGCTTTTTAGGAGAACTCTTAGTGGTAAGATACAATGTTTTGTGAATACGGGCCCTGATATTTACTTAACTTCTTCCCAGGACCAGATTTCATATAGACAGAACCAGTCAGCATAAAGGGTGGTAAAATAAATACTATCGTGATGCATAAATACCTTTGTTCTTTTTTTGCATTATCATAATGAGAAATAGTGGTAATGTGCCTAATTGCTATGGAAGAAATAATAATAAAAAATGTATACATATATATATATATATATCACTGTACAAGTTTGACCCAAAAACCTGTGATACTGACCAAACCACCGCATTGTCCTCATTAAAGCACAACATTATAGCACAGCAGTCTTTAAGAATAGATGCCCTTTAACAAGGTCTTTAATGAGAGGGTTGCCAGATTCACTTTAGATTAGCAGTTTTCCGTTGGCCATCTCATTCTGTCAATGAAACATCAATAAAGCACGTCTTACCTCAGCAATTCTCAAGATGTTGTGGCCATTGATCTCAAAGGTAGAGGAGTAGGTGACACAAAGTAGGACCTACAACACAAAGAACTACAAAACATTAGCCATTTAATATAACAGCTACTTAGCAGCACCTCTACTGAAAATGATTTAACACTTCTATATTAGAAACAGGAGATCAGGAAACACAGTGTGTCTAGGGCATGTGTGCCAGTAATTTGCAAATCCATCCAATTACACCACGGATGCAGACACTGAATTGATTAAGCCTGCTAGATGTAGCACTAAACATTTTCTCCACAAACCACTTCTGACAGAGCAGACATTTGTGACCTCACACACTGATGAAGAGGGTTCAGACGAGCACGGACCTTCATGACCTCCACCTGCAGGTCTTCATGTAGGGTGGGTGTCACCCTGATGGCTTCCAGGATCTGACTCAACAGCTGCTTCTCTGGAACCTCTGTTTCCACGGCAACAAAGCAATCCTCACAAAGGATCTTCTGGCAATGCCACAGGACAAAAAACATGCAAACTGCTGAGTAGAGTATGAACTATCACATCACAAAGAAAATTAATATTATTTGGTCACCTCGCCATGATTGTAAGCTGAATTGTAAATATGTCAAATGTATTTTTACATTCTCTGAAAAAATGTAAAGTTGCATGCAAAACTTTCCACCACAATGCTAGGCACTCATTGTATAAAGAACTATTAATTTAAACATAAAAGACTGTAAAAATGCTATGAATGCAGTAAAAACAAGCTATGGTAAGTTACTTTGCTCTATTCAATGAAAAACTGTAACTGATCTAATTGACATTTCCAAAATTCTTTATGTGATGTCTTAATGTCTTCACATTTAATGGTTTTTCCACTGAAATAACCATGTTTCCCTTTCGAACGTTCACTTCACATTGTGTATGGGGTAAACTCCTGTTTACTCTGCTACTGAAGCGTGATTTGTTCACGTTTGTGTAGCTGCACAAACCAATGGCGCTTTAGCCCGCCAGAAAAGGCAAAGCCGACGTGTATATAAGTCGGCTCGCAATGCCATTTCATCAGAATCTTCTCCTTCAGCGATGAGGATCTACTCTTCGCTGACTCTGCAAGAAGCCGAAGAAAGAAGACGGAAAGAAGCTCAACACGCTTGCTGCCATCGAAGAGCCCCGGCAGAGGACAAGTCTCCCCTGCAGCCATCCGGCGCGTTCTAAAAGAGCAAATTTCCAGCACGCGTTGTTGCAAATGTTGCGCTGCGAGTGCGGCTCCTTGCACGAGTCAGACGGGCACAGCGAGTGTGATGCCTGCCTGGGCAGCACCCACGCAAAGGCTGCGCTCACTAACGGCTCATGTTCTCATTGAGAGAATACGAGTTTGTCCACTCACCTATAGCCTCTTAGACGAGTGGTTCCCGCCGGGACGCCGTCAGCCGCCTTCCCGCCAGGGGCCGGCCCCGTTCTTACCTGAAGTTCACGAACAACTGACCAAGACATGGTGTGCCCCCTATTCGGCCCGAGTTAGCTCCTCCTCCTCAGCAACTCTCACCACCGTTGACGGCGCTGAGGAAAAAGGCTATAGCAAGCTCCCCCCTCTGGAGGAGGCGGTAGCTGCTCACTTGTGTCCACCGTCTGCGCTAGGATTAATGGCTCATGCAGCTCATCCCTCGAAGCCCTGCAGGACCACTTCGGCTCTGGCCAACCTGTATGCAGCAGCCGGTCAGGCCGGATCGGCACTGCATACGATGGCAGTCCTACAAGTGTTTCAGGCCAAACTTCTCCGTGATATGGATGAGCCTGGCCAACATCAGGATGCTTTCAAAGAGCTGCGCACAGCGACTGATTTGGCTCTGCGCACTACGAAAGCCACAGCTCAGGCTATCGGCAAGATCATGGCCAGGTTGGTGGTGTTGGAGTGCCACCTTTGGCTGAAACTCACTGAAATAAGGGACGCCGAGAAGACGGTTCCTTGATTCTCCGGTCTCACCAAAGGGCCTCTTTGGCCCCGCTGTGGACGGGTTTGCACAAGGCTTCTCAGAGGCTCAGAAGTGCTGCGTCACTTCCTTCCTAAGCGCTCTGGTGCTGTGGCTGCTAGCCGCCAGAAAGCCCCATCCCCTCAGCCCGCAAAGCCGGCGCCGCCTCAGCCTCAGAAGTCTGAGCCCGGGCTTCAGCAGCGCCCCTGGATGGAAAAGCGGTTTCCTTACCCGAAGTGCCAAGGCCCACGCCCTTGGCTAGTGCTGGACCCTGAGCCCCAGAAGCTGTCCTGACCCATCAGAAAGGAAGAGGAAAGGGTCAGTTCTCACCTCAGTCAGAACTCCCTCAAAAACAGCTCGCTTTCACCCTCTATTCCTCCGAACACCTCTGAGCAATGGGAGTTTTGTTTCCCACGGGTCTCGCCCTGCAGGTGCAGCGCGTACCCGAATGTTTTACCGCTGTGACAGCAGACCCAAATACTCAAAAGAGTAAATTTCCTCTTCCCACATTTAGACACACGGATATCAGTTCCCCGCCCCCTCGCGGCTAACTTTCATTTGGAAAATTAGATCCACTTGCATCCCGGTTCATGGCCTGGGCAGCCATACCAGGTGTGTCAAGCTGGGTTCTAAAAACAAGGCTACTCGCTTCAGTTTGCTCGCAGGCCACCTCGTTTCGGAGGTATTATTCACACTTCAGTTCAGGACAATGAACACGTTCTCCGACACGAAGTGCAAACACTGCTTGCAAAAGGTGCTATAGAAATAGTGTCTACAGCGAACAGCGAGTCAGGCTTTTACAGCCGCTACTTGCTCGTTCCCAAAGAAGGTAGCGGGCTGAGACCAATTCTGGATCTCAGACATCTGAATCGCTCACTTATGCTCCTGCCATTCAAGATGTTACCTATCAAACAGATCCTCGCACACATTAGCCCCGAGGATGGGTTTTTAACAGTAGACCTGAAAGATGCTTACTTTTACATCCACATAGCCCCCCATCACAGGCCGTTCTTGAGATTCACATTCGAGGGAGTGGCCTACCAATATACAGTCCAACCATTTGGACGGTCTCTGACCCCTCACACTTTTACGAAGTGCATAGACGGTTAGACTCTTTCCCCTCTGAGGTAGATGGGAATCTGCATACTCAACTACCTCGACGACTGGCTGATCCTGGCCAAATCAGAACGGGAATTAGTTGCTTACAGAGTGCTGTTACTCAGCCACTTGGAGCGCCTCGGGTTGAACATGAACCTTCGGTCATCGGTCTCCTTGACAGCAAGTAGTCTTTCTGGGGACGATTTTGGACTTTGCCCAGATGCGGGCTTGGGTCACACCGGAACGGTCCCTGACTATTCAGCGACTGGCGGCATCCCTAAAACTGGGAGAGCTGTGGATCCTTCATGTATGGAGCCTTGACGGGAGCTTACACAGGTCCCAGCAAGAGTGAGTGATACCATTTTAGAGGCTAGAGCACCGTCTACAAGACACCTTTATGCCCTTAAATGGTCAGTCTTTTGTGACTGGTGTACTGCACGAAGCCTGGACCCGGTATCTTGTGAAGTGTCCCACGTGCTATCCTTTCTACAAGAGTTGTTGGACAACGGGCGTGCCCCTTCCACACTCAAAGTTTACATGGCAGCTATCGCAGCGAATCATTCCCTCGAAGCTGGCCATTCGATCGGCAGAAACAATCTGATCGTTAAGTTCTTGAAGGGCGTCCGGAGATTAAACCCTCCTCGTCCTCAGACCGTACCGATCTGGGACTTGTCAATCGTCCTTAGGGCCCTACGGGGTCCTCCCTTCGAGCCACTACATTCAGCTGAACTACGCCCTTTGTCGCTGAAAACCGCTCTTCTACTGGCACTAGCATCGGCGAGTGGGTGACTTAAAAGCACTGTCAATCAGTGCTTCCTGTCTGGAGTTTGGGCCTAGCGACTGTAAAGTCGTCCTCAAGCCTAGACATGGATATGTTCCGAAGGTGCTCTCAACTCCATTCAGAGCCCAGGTAATTATCCTTCTGGCGCTCCCCACTACAGATGGTGAGCATTGTCCCAATGTTCTCTGCCCCGTCAGGGCCCTGAGAATATATCTTGAACGCTCCAGCCTGTTTAGACAGTCAAAGCAGCTTTTCGTTTGCTTTAGAGGCCGCTCTAAGGGGCTGCCGGTTACAAAGCATAGACTATCCTGCTGGATAATTGATGCTATAGCCTTGGTTTATGCCTCAGAAGGTTTGCAATGCCCCACAGGCGTGAGGGCCCACTCCACTAGAGGAATGGCCTCCTCATGGGCTTGGTCCAGCAGAATCTCTATTGGTGAGATATGTGCGGTCGCCGGCTGGTCGTCGCCATCCACGTTTGCCAGATTTTACAGCCTAGATGTACCTGCTCTCCAGGCAGGGATTTTATCAGCTTAAACTGCTTAGCTATGTCCAAAGTCCTCAGCTACGCTCGAGACTCAGTTGGCTCAAGTTCTCTAGGGGCCCTTAACGCAAGTGCTCCAGCCTTAGTCTGCTTCTGCTCATAGCACGGCGTGATTGGATTCGTTCCCCATTCACAACATGAAGTAAATGTTCGAAAGGGAACACTCTGGTTACTGGAGTAACCTCGGTTCCCTGATATAAGGGAACGAGCGTTGTGTCACTTACCGTGCTATAAGCTGCACACGAATCGATGACTGTCATTTCAGTCGAATGATTCTGATGAAATGGCACTGCGAGCCGACTTATATACACATTGGCTCCGCCCTTTAACGCACCATCGGTTTGTGCAGCTACACAAACGTGAACAAATCAGGCTTCAGTAACAGAGTAAACAGGAGTTTACCCCATACACAACGCTCGTTCCCTTATCTCAGGGAACCGAGGTTACGCCAGTAACCTGAGCGTTCTCCTTACTTTTTTCCTATAAGTTATGTATATTGGAGTTTTTTTTTTACATTCTATGTACTTAAATAATTTATTTAATTTCATGTGTTTCTGTGTGTGTTACCATGATGGTGTTTTATAAAGGTAATTTTTCATAATTTGGTATATTACCATCATTTCAGTAAATGAAATGTTTTTTACTGAATTTAAGTTCAATCTATAAAACTTTAAATAGCCTAATGCTATAATATGTTTTACGGTAAAGCTCAGATAGACACAGCTGCCAAATTTCTACCTTAAAGTTTTTTTTTTAGTGTTGCTCTGTAGTTTCTGAGTAGTTGTTATTATATTGCTGCGCATTTGCTGGGGTGATCTGTGTGGTTGCTAGAGCATTGCTGTGCAGTTGGTAGGGTGGGATATTGCTTTCTGGCCAAATACAAAAGAGTCTGTAAAATATTCTGGTGCCAAGATACGGTCCATTTATGTCCATAGCTGAAACACTGCAAAATGAGTTACAAGTCTAACACGCTTTGCCTGGTTGAGCAAACACTACTGAATAACGCAGAGCAAAAATACATGGGGTGCTGCTTTATCTTGAGTGTACCTACCTGTACCATGGGGAAGTCGTGGCCTAATGGTTAGAGAGTCGGACTCATAACCCAAAGGTTGTGGGTTCGAGTCTCGTACCGGCAGGGATTGTAGGGGGGGGGGGTGAATGTACAGCGCTCTCTCCCACCTTCAATACCACAACTGAGGTGCCCTTGAGCAAGGCACCGAATCCCCAACTGCTCCCCGGGCGCCGCAGCATAAATGGCTGCCCACTGCTCCGGGTGTGTGTTCACAGTTTGTGTGTGTTCACTGCTGTGTGTGTGCACTTTGGATGGGTAAATGCAGAGCACTAATTCTGAGTATGGGTCACCATACTTGGCCACATGTCACTTCACCTTCACCTTCACCTAATCATTTTTGTTTCTGTGAAATGTGTGTCTTTTAAAAAATGTATAATGATTAGTAAAGCACACCTGCATTCCGGTGAGGGCAGTCTGAGCCAGTTTAGTGTTTTTAGACTCCAGTGCCAACTGAAGAGGGAATAAACACTTCTCTCTGCACAAAAATAGTTCACACTTAACACACCAGAACATGAAAGATCCGACTCATGAAGACTTTGCATTGAAGCACTTTCTTATGTCACTCTTACTGCCTCTGATGATTCAGAGATCATCTGAATAAAAGCATCTGCTATATGAAAACATATAAATGAACCTAAGATAGTAACCCATTTCAAAGTTATAGTCATGACAATACTATGGAAGAAGAATATTTAGTCTTTTTACTACTTTAATGCATTTTCACTGTGTACACGAAAGGTTTAAAAATAACGAATGCTATGCCAAACTTAATAAATGTACCTGTCTATTGATTTTCATGGATTAGGCTATGTCTGTGTGCATCATGAAGATGTGAGTGTTCAAGAAATGTAAAAGACTGACAATACAAACATTATATTCAGAATCAAAACACTTGCCTGAGTTTAGATGGCGGTATTTTAACTGAACCATTCTGAGCCTGAAGGGTCTCTGTACAAAAGCAGGAAAAATGAGAAGAAAAAAGTTGTATATTTCAGAATTAGAAAACCGATATAAAAAAAAACACCTAAATGGTAAGAACACAAATGTTAACAAAGGAACATCCTTTAAATATGAATCCCCATCATTAATAACTACTCAAATTGAAACAAAATGAAGCAGAACAACCTCACATTAGAAAACTATTCCAGATCAGGCCTCGCTAATACCGTCATCTGAGCCATTCATTGATCCTGCTAAATGAGCCAGAGTTACCCAGCACAGCATCAGTTTTGACCCCCTCATTTGTTGGCACGCATGACTGACAGTCTGTGAGATGTGCAATGCAGAAAAAGGTCAACTGAGGTCTCGAAGCTCTACATCATCTTAAACTATAGTGTGGTGCGGAATTAGAGCTGCTTTTGCCCATCCACTAAAAGCCTATTAGTTTCAACACAATACAAGAAGACAGAATAAGGACAAGCTTCGAACATCTACAACACTTTCAATACTTATATTAATTATAGTATCTAATGAACACATTAAAAAATAGTCAATTTCCACTTCTACTAGTACTAACAATATAGCTGCTCTTGCTTTTATTTTATACCTTACTGTATCATCTTGAAAGTAAACAACTTAGGTGAAAAAAAAACTCTTAATCACTTAATTACCAAGAAAATAACCATGAAGCAACTATTAAAAAGATGAAATTAACCACTAAAACAGATGGTTCCTGATGGAAAGTCATTTAAAAGTACTGTTAATGCGTTAATAATGGAAAAGTCATGCTAATTTCATACTGAATAATAGCCATATTCATGCACAGCTATACTTGATAATATTCCAAGGTGTTATCATGTCCAAAACATGCTATTAACATGGCCATAGGGCTTTTTTTCAGTATGCATTTTGAAAATAAGAGGTTTAAAGCCAAACATTTCATCAACACTTCAAATGCACACATGCAATAAACCCAAGTTCTCACTGGAAATAAAACAATTTCATGTTATTCTCGTGTTTTCATTTTCAATCTGCAGTTATGGAAAACACATATCTCCTGTAACAGCGTGCTTTTGCCCATCCACTAAAAGCCTATTAGTTTCAACACAATACAAGAAGACAGAATAAGGACAAGCTTCGAACATCTACAACACTTTCAATACTTATATTAATTATAGTATCTAATGAACACATTAAAAAATAGTCAATTTCCACTTCTACTAGTACTAACAATATAGC